AGATATTTTAATGCTGGTATGTATTGATATAGGTTTCCTTAAAAATTGCTACAATGCTCCACAGCATCAAAGTATGATAGATTACTTAACCATTCTGCTTCTAACAAACACTTAAGTTGGTTTCCAATTTTTCAGTTACCATCAATATCTCTTTGAGCATATGTGAGAATATGTCTCTATATTAGATACCTAGAAAGGCATTTTTGGCTCACCAAGTATGTATATTTAACATTTTAATTCATGCTGCCATGTTGCTCTCCAAAAAGGCTGAACCACCTTGAATGCAGGAAAATACCATTTCTCCACTTCTTCATCAACACTTGCTATTATCAGTCTCTTCAATTTTGCCAAACTGACGGCTGGAGACGATGTCTCAATCCTGTTTAATTTGCATTTCTCTGATTGCTACTGAAATTGAGGATCTCTTCATTTAGTTGCTGGTCATTGGCATGATTTCCTCTGAAATGTCTTTTCACGTCCTTTGCCCACTTTTCTTTTGCGCTTTGCGTTACTGCTTTGTAAGAATTACTTGTATATTCTGTCTATTCATCCCTTGTCTTTTATTGTATGTTGCAAAGACCTTTTTGCATCATTTATTTTCCAACATCATTTAGTAAATTTTTTACTGACTGGTCCAAAGTATAACTTTTGTTATTTACTAAATTCCTATATATACACAGGTCTGTTTGTGGACTCTATATATTATGTTCTATTGATCTGTTTATTCATTCCCTTTAAGTTACATTTTTAAATCACTATAACTTATAATGTACTTTGATACCCTCATTGGCCTCCTATTTCAAAGTAGGCTTTGCTGGTCTGGTGCATACTCTCAAAAATTTCAAATGAATTTTTGAAAACATTTGACATGGGCTGTAAGATTTGGGTTGGGGAAAGGAGTTTTGACTGGCATTGCAAGAAATTTACAGTTTAATTTGGGAACAACAGACATTGAAAAAATGTTGACTTATCTGAACTAGGAATATGGTTAATTCTCCATTTTTTCAGGTTCTTTTTTGTCCTTTAATTAGTCTTATTTTTTTTGTCCTCATAAGTGTTACATTTCTCTTGTTGGGTTTGCTCCTAGGAGATTTTGTTGGTGTTATGAATGGAATTCGTTTTTTCAATTATATTTCCTAATTGCTTTTGGTTGGCATATAGGGAAGCTATTACTTTTCATATGTGATTTTATACCTGTCCCCCCTGAGGCACTCTTATTGGTTAACTAGGTCTTAATTTATTCTCTTGGATTTTATGGACGGATAATCGCATCATCCTAAATCAAAGACATTTTTGTCTTTCCTTCCCAGAATTCATATCTTTTTTCTTTTTCTTATCACTCTGACTAAAGATCTCCAGCACAATGAATGGGACGGGAGCCTTTTCTTGCTCCTTTAATAATAATGCTTCTAATTTTTCATCATTCAGTATGATATTTACAGTAGATTTCTGGCATATGCTGCTATAAAATCAGATTCCCAGTAAGAATCTGATGACATTTTGGAAGAGCATGATCTGAGAAGCATTTGTTTACGATGGAACTATAATCACTGTTCATGATTCTGTACTTGCAAATTTGCTCACTTGCTAACATTTACTTGTAACCCTAAAATCGTGCTTGTGGGGCTTCTGCAGTTACTCACAGTCACGAGCAGAGTGGCAAAATATTTGTCACTGACATGCACCTTCACAGCTGACGGCCGAGGTGACACTCGGTGGAGCACCAGCTCCCGTATCGTAAACACTATCCTCTTCACTGTCTACTCAGTGACACACTTTTCATATTTTTGTGATCTTGTTGATGATTTTGCTGTTTAAAATCGCCCCCAAGCACAGCATGAAGTGCTGTCTAGTATCCTAAGCACAGGATGACTGCGTGTGCCCTACACTGAAAACACACGTATCAGAGAAGCTTTGTTCAGGCATGAGTTACAGTGCTGTTAGCCGTGAGCTCAACGTTCACGAATCCTACCCCTTTCCTGTCCTTCGCGGCCTCCAAGCCTGGCGGGGTCAGAAACCTGGGCCAGGTTGCAGGCGTGGAGCCATGGAGGGAAGCAGCTGAGAAGCCGCCACCAGGCCAGGCCCAGGGAAAAGATTGACGTAAAATCCACAGTTCTGACTTTTACACGGGGCTGGACACTTTCAATGTTGTGAACAAAAGTGACCAGAGGCTTTTTTTTAAACTCTAAAAGCAACAGAAAAGGTTATGTAAGCTGCTGGAGACTTTAGCTGGGAACAAGGGAGAAACCATAAAGGAGGGGAGAGAAAATTGCTTTCTGCCTCTGCCCCCGTTGGAGCCTTGCTTCTTCACTGCTGGGGAGAGATGAGTTAATCGAGGCATGAGCATTGCCAGACTGCTTGCCAAAACGAGCCGTAGCAACTCACACACCTACCAGCGAACACAGGAACGCTTCTTCATCTGAATCTTTGCCAGTTCTGCTTGTTTTAACTCCTGCAACTCTGCTGAATAAAATTATGTTGTGTTAATTTGCCACCCTCGGTTCACGAACAAGATCAAGTTCGTCCCGGAAGTTCAGTGTTTGGAAGCTGGACTGGACGTCAGCAATTCCCGCAGCCTCGAGAGACAGAGGACGTGTCAAAACCCCAGAGTGAACTGTGATGACCCTTTGGTAGTACAGTTCTCAGCTCCATGCCATCCGTTAGAGGCAAAATTCTTCATGAAAGTTCACCTTTTAAGAGGCAAGATGATCTGCTATGACCCTGAAATTTCTGGCAATACGATCTCATTCTTATCCAGACCATTATACTGGGTGGTTATAGGACCGCCTCTCAGATACTTGGCGCTTGGTGGCCACTAGCATCCAGGTCTATTTAATGGCATCTCACAGACTTCTTCTCATGGGTTTTATTTTATAGCTTTCCCTATTTGAAAACCTCAAATTGTCCACTTGTCTTTGAGAATCAAGTTAGCCCTGTTTGCGGTTGGACACGTGACACGCTTTGAGAACAGAATGACCCCCCGAGGTGCATGGCTTTGGAAAAAAGCCAGCTACATGAGAAGCTACCATCACACACACACTTTCCAGAAACTATTGATATATGTAGCTTAGTGAGTTTTACAGCCTCGTGTTGCACGCTTTCAATAGCCCTTCCCCTGTGCAGTGGGAGGGGAAGGAGTGGCCCCACTGCCTTCCTCTTTCCGTGGATCAGAACATGCTGGCCAATCGCACCAGAGAAACAGCAAGCAGAGCAGATTTTTTTCTTTTTTCTTTTTTTTTTTGCGGTACGCGGGCCTCTCACTGTTGTGGCCTCTCCCGTTGCGGAGCACAGGCTCCGGACGCGCAGGCTCAGCGGCCATGGCTCACGGGCCCAGCCGCTCCGCGGCATATGGGATCTTCCCGGACCGGGGCACGAACCCGCGTCCCCTGCTTCGGCAGGCAGACTCTCAACCACTGCGCCACCAGGGAAGCCCAGAGAAGATTTTTGAAGAGCAAAAAATACAGTAATTTTATTCTTGCTCAAAGGGAATAAGCAGCAGAACACAACAAGAGATACCATAGGTGTCTCCTTCAGCAAGAGCTTTGGTGGTTCTTAAGTCCCTTGTATATTATGTTTCTCTCCCGCAACACAAATTCATCCCACTTTAGCTGGTTTTAACTCAGCCTGTACCCTGAAGATTTCTTTATGCATCACAGCCACAAAGACTAGAGATTTGGCCCGGGTTTTAGGGACATTTTACACAAACAGCACGCTTCCTGTGCATTTTCTCAGGCCAGTCTTCCTTCACTTAAAATCGTATTCTTATCCCACGTTCATTTGTCACATATACATTGTTCTCTTCTCTAATACTATTCACTCCCTTCTATGGTGAAAGCTAATTCCCAAGTCCTGCTGCAGAAATACAAGATGATAGAGATAAGACAGCCAATTGCTTTGAAGCGTCCTTCATTATGAATCACCTTAGCTAAGGCACAGGCGGCCTATGGCCATGGTTTAAAGGACATGTTTCTAACTGAAGAAAACGGTTTTGGTTTTCACAGAAATACAATTGCTGGTAAAGCTGAGGAGCACACGTCTAAAAATGAGAACACGGCCGTTCCCGCTGGTATTTATTCAGGATGCGCTCTGGTCCCTGCTCTTCTGGCTGGACCCCTCCTTTTGTCTCCCTTCACACAGACGGCCAAGCTCAAAATCTCTGTTTCTTCTCCCTCCCGGTCCCCTGCGTCTCTCCCCCACTGCAGGGAGGTGTACACCATGCATGTGGCGCGTCCCCTCCCCGCACCCCCCGGGATGTCACAGCATGGCTGACCCACGTCCTCTCTCGCCTCTGAGTCACTCCTGTCTCCTCGCGCTTCCCCAGTCTTGAAAACACCACCTCTTCCTTCCTTCCTTCTTTCCTTCTGCTGGAAAGCAACTGGCTTTCTTTCCCCTTCCCTTTATTGACATGTTTTATTTATTTGTTCATTTTTTAAAAATTTCAAGAGCAGAAAACAAACTTGTAAAAACATCAAACAGAACGGAAGCGTATTGAACGTGAAAGCCCCCCATCCGCCCTCTCCCTGCCTCCCCTTCACTCAGCTGTTAACAGTTGGGTGCGCACCTGTATCAGACATCCGTGACATATAAACAAACACAGAGCTATTTCTGTGGAGTTCCTCAGCCCTAACTGGAGCATAGTACACAGCTCTGTAGCTTGCTTTTTTCTTTTTCTTTTCTGTTATTTTAAAAAATCACTTGAAACATGTAAACAATAGAGAAGCATATGTTATGAAACATTAAAGTCCCTCTTGTGGTATATTTACCCACAAAGCCAAGCTGTCCTGTCATCACTCTGGGTCACCAGAAACAGTTAAAGAAAGAAGTTCACCATCCAAAATAATTGTGAAGTAATCTGAATCTTTACTGTAGACTTTTTCTCTCTGTAACTCCCTTCCCTCTTTTGACACACACAAACACACACACACCGCCGACACACACATACACACCCCCCCACACACACCCCCCACACACATATACACACCCCCACACACACACCCCACACACATATACACATACCCACACCCATACACTCACACACCCCACACACATATACACACACACACACACACCCCCCCACACAGAGGAGTGAAGGGCATTCAGGTTCCTGGTCCTGCCACAGACAGCAGGGCAGTGAACAGCCTCACGCAAACACCCCTTTGGGAGCGTGTGAATATTCTGCAGTACAGATTCCCAGAGGTGAGAATATTGTATTTGAGTGACACACATTTAAAATTTTGTTAGAACCTGTCAAATTGCCTCTCTCAAAACAGCTCTACCACTTTGTACTCTTACTAACAGTGAAGGTGAGTATGACTGTATCTTCACCTCCACATTAACATGGCATACGATCAACCTCCTAAAAGCTTCTTCTCTTTGGCCAATTTAATTGGTTAAAAACAGGATCCCATTATTCAGTTTTTTCTTTTTCTGTTACATATTTGATAAGAACTGTCAATCAGCCTGTTGTTTGCCTTTACTTTTATTTGTGGGGACTTTCACTATGAGGACGTATTTAACTCGTCGATAGTCAAATTTGTCAAGATTTGCCTTTGTTTTTTCTCGTTTTCCTTCGTCCTAAAAAAAACCTTCCTCACGTTAAGATTATTAACACATTTATCTATCTATATCTTTAAACCATTTGGAATTTATTCCTGTGTAAGGAATGACATAAAGATCTATTATTCTCCTAAATGAACTGCCAATCATTCCAACCTATTTATGGAATAATTCATCCTTTCCCTACTAATTTAAAGTGCAGCCTATATCATACGCAAAGTGTGTGCGTGTGTGTTGTGTCTATTTATGGACTTCTTTTCCCATCATGCTATATATTTCTGAATAATGCCACCCTATTATCATTACTGTCATTTTGATGACATAGAAGATTCCACTTTATTGTTCTTCTTGGCCGATTTTAGGAAACAATCTGTCAAAGTCCACTTTTAAATTCCCAGAAATTTTTAGCGAATTCTCTCTGAGTAAATAGATTATTTGGAAAAAAGTTCACAAGGGACATTTGAAATCTCCTGTACGTTCCTGGGAATCTAAAAGGCCACATGCATGTGCAGGGCTGTGTTCATGCCAAGGGTTGTGCACATGCCCAGGAAAACCTGAGAAGGCTGTAAGTTTTCACCTCTGGCTGACCTTCAGGCTATGTACAAATAAGAAGTGAGAGCTAAGGCAGAGTTGTCAACTTCTTACGGGAGCTTTGAAGGCATGAGGAGCACACACACAGAGTGAAAGGATAGAAACATATTGGTTCACGGCACATTAGCTTTAAAGGCATAAAGCATGACATGGCCTTTCCAGAAATCCAACCCAATGACTTTCACTTAAATCTCAACGATCTGAACTAGGGGCTATGGCCATATAATTGTAAAGACATCTGGGAGAGTCAGTGTCTTAGCTGGACACATTCACACTCTACAGGAAACCAGTGTTCTGTGTGTAAGAAAGGCAGGCTGAACATCACGAAGGCCGCTAGCAGTGTCTGCCACAACCTGTCAGGTTTTTACTTCTTGGAATTATCGTGTAGATCAATAAATAGATTTTTGAAAAGTCTATGTAGTTTAAGTTAGTGTGGTACAAAGTTTATGAGTCAATGAAAACGAACTTGCTAATAGTATTTTTATTTTCTCAATCACTGCTGTCAAAAGAAGTTTGATAAAGTCTCTCACCATGATTCTGTATTTCACCTGGCAACACAAGGACCTGAGAATGCTTTATTGATAATCATAGCTCACACTTAGGAAGCACTTGCCATGTATCAAGCACTGTTCTAAGTGGTTCACATATATTAACTAATTTAAGCATCCCAGTAACCCTATGAGTGATACTATTACTATCCTCATATTAAGAGAAGTAAATAGACGTACAGAGGTGTTAATTAACTTGCCTAAAGCAAGGTAATAGGTACCACCAGATAATTAGTACCAAAGTCAGAATTCAAACCAAAGAAATCTGGATTTAGCATCTCTTAATCACGAAGCACCATTCAAATCTGACCACACATCCAGTTGTTCACTATTTTAGTTCTACTCTATCATCCCTACCCCTAAGTTAGACGCTACTTTATTTACTTTATACCATCTGTATCTATATTTAGCAATATCTTTGCTCACCATTTCTTCTTGTCCCTCAGACATTCCACCTGAGGTATTTTTTCCACATATTTTCAGTATTTCCTTTAATGAGTGTCTTTTAGAGAAAAACATTCTTAGTTATTAAGTCAGAAAACGTTTTTATTTAACCTTTGCTCTTAAAGATGGTGTCAGTGGGTAGAGAACTGTGGGTAACTCTTCAGTGTCTCTGAGCACATTGAAAATAATTCACTGGCTCTGATATCATGGTCACTGAAAAATAAAATTTTACTCTCATTGCCATTTCTTCATAGGTAATCTGGTTTTTCTTGGATGCTTTTAAGGTCTTTTGTCTTTCATGTCCTATAGTTTCTCTATGTTGTTTCTAGTTGTGGACTTTTTCCCCTACTTGAAGTTCATTTGGATTCTGATATTTTAGAATTTAAATCTTAGCAATATTTCTAAAATATCCTAGTTACATGTCTTTGAAAATTGTCTCTTTGTATATGTTAGGACTTATTACTCTTACTTCCTTATTTTCGGTATAGTTTTATATTTTGCATCTCTGTCTTTTTAGATGGTGTTCCAAATAATTCCTTCTGTTCACAATTTTTTAAAAAAATTCAGCTGTGTCTAACCTGCTCTTACAGATTTGTGACAATTCTTTGTCAGTCATATGTATTACAAATACCATCTTCCACTCTTTGGCTTCCATTTTCATTTTCCTAGTGGTGTCTTTGATAGACAGAAGTCCTAATTTCAGTCTAGTAACATTCATCAATCAAGAGACACTGCCAAGCTTTGCAGAGGTGATGCTTTCCCTCTCAGTAACCTTGAAGATCAAAGAGAATATGCCTGAGAGCTAGCAGCCTAGCAGCCGCTAGAGGGGGCAGAATGAGTGCAGAGCTCCCAAAAGGGCCATTCCCAAAGAACTGTCAATATTTGACCTGTCTGACAGCCTGCTGAAAAGTTCCATTTTCAGGGCAACTCTTTCTTTGATGTGACTTAGAACTCCCTCTGTGAGAACAGCCCTACTGACAGGGTATTTGTCAAAACAATCAGCATTAATTGTTTAACACTGCAGTTGCTTAAGGAAGTGTTACAAGTTGAGGCTAACAAAAGGCTATGAAAAAAAAACTTAAAAGGAAACACTGGACACGTGATATCCATAGGGTGCTTTCAAAAGTTTCTATATATTCCTGGGAATCTAGAAGACCACAAGCACACACACAGGGCTGTGTGCATACCTAGAGCTGTGTCTATGCCTAAGAAACAACTGAGAAGACCCTAAGCTCTCAATTCTGGCTGACGCTGAGGGTCTGCACAAGCAAGAAGTGTAGGCTAATGCAGAGCTGTAAGCTACCTGTGGGAACTTGGCAAGCATGCCCCAACACACACACAGAAGCACCAGAGAAAGGATGAGAGACTCATTGGTTCAAGACACATAAGGAAATCTTAGTGCAATCATTCGCTGAACACTAAGCTAAGTAGCAGAGACTTCAGTGGCTATATATGACAAAGAATACAGACTTTATAAAATTTGTCTAGGAAAGTCACTGAACAAATAAACAGAAAACAGCAAGAACAACAGCAAAAAACCTTGGGAAGGAGAGAATCTTATTTCTAGGGTGGGCACATTATTTATCTAGAATGTACAGCTTTCAGCAAAAAATCACAAGACATGAAAAAAAAAAAAAAACCCAGGAAGAATATCTTTTCACAAGAGAAAAAGCACACAAAAGAAACTGTGCACGAGAAAGGGCACATGTTAGATTTACTAGACGAAGACTTAAAGTCATCAATCATGTAGGAAACCATGTTGAAAGAACTAAAGTAAGAGAATGACATCTCACAAAATAGAATATGTCAATAAAGAGATATAAATTATTTTTAAATGAAAATTCTGGAGTCGAAAAGTATAAAAACTGTAATGAAAACTTCACTAGAGGGGCTCAACAGAAGATCTGAACAGGCAGACAAAACCACCAATAGACTAATTGAGATTATCCAGTCTGAAGAACAAAAAGAAAAAGAATAAAGAATAATAAACAGAGCCTCAGAAACCTGTGGGACACCATCCAGCCTACACATAAGGGGAGTCCAAGAAAGAAAGAAAAGAAAGGAGAAAAAAGAATATTTGAAGAAACAATGGCCCAAAACTTCCTAAGTGATGAAAAACGATCTGCTCACCAAGGAAGCTCAATGAACTCCAAGTAGATCATTTTAAAGAGATCTACACCAAATACACCATAATCAAATTGCTAAAAAGCCAAAGAAAAGGAGACACTGATGAAAGCAGCAAGAGGAAAGCAAACCCGTCCTGCACAAGGGATCTCAATGAGGTTAACAACTAACTTCTCATTCAAAACCATGGTTGCCAGCAGGCAGTGGATGACATAGTCAAAGTACTAAAAGAAAAACACTGTCAACTAAGATCCTACATCTAGGAAATCTAGTCCTTCAAAAATGAAGGAGACGAAAAAATGAGAGGCTTCGTCACTATCAGACCTGACCTACAAGAAATACTAAACAGAGTCCTCCAGGCTGAAATGATGGGACGGTAACTAAAATCCAAATGAACAATGAAGAACACCAGAGGAGGTCAATACATGGGTTTTACAAAGACAGTACAAATGTGTCTTCATTTGTAGTTTTTTTTCTTCTTTTGGATTTAAGGACAACTGTACAAAGCAACAATTATAAAACTACCTTGTTGGGCTTACGGTGTGTAAAGATGTAATTTGTATGACAATAAAAGTATAAAGAAAAGGGAGGGAATGGAATATAAAGAAGCAAAAGTTTAGCAGACTGTTTAAATTGCTATTAATCCAAACTAGATTATTCTAAGTTACAATTTCATTTTAATTGCCAGGGCACCCAATAAAAAATCTCAAAAATATATAGTAAAGAAACAATAGATAATTTAAATGGTATGCTAGGAAATTTTATCTAACACAAAAGAAGGCAGTAATGAAGAAATAAAGGGAAAAAGACATGACATAAAGAAAATTTTAAATGACATACAAAAGCCCTAACCTACTAGTAATTATGTTAAATGTAAATGGATTAAACATTCCAATTAAGAAGTAGAAATTGGGAGAATGAATTTTAAAAAGTCCAATTATATGCTGTCTACAAGAGAAGAGCAAGCAATGACACAGAATGGCTATTATCAAAGAGAAGAAACTTGTGCACTGTTGGTGGGATTGTAAATTGGTATAGCCACTAAGGAAAACGGTATGGAGATTCATCAAGAAATCAAAAATAGAGCTAAAATAGGATCCAGTAATTTCACTTCTGGGTATTTATCCAAAGGAAATGAAATCACTATTTCAAGGGCATATGTGCCTCAGAGACAGGGCAGATGTGCCTGGAGTGGTCGCTGCAGCTGGATGGTGGTAACACACGAAAAACACGTGGTCCAGATGCCTCTAGGATGGGCTGGGGGACATCTGAACGAGCAGGGGAGTGGAAATAGAGTGGACACCAGTTTCTTTCTTGTCTCCTCACATTCCTTCCCTGTGGGGACTACCTCTTCCTCTACTTCTGTGATACTAGCGGAACTGCCAATCAACCTCCTCTCTGCACTGTCCCCCTGCCCCACAGAGGTGGGTATGTGACCCAGGCTAGCCCACAAGAGAACACCACTCTGCAGGAATCAGGGAGAGGTATGTAAGCTTGGGCATGCGACCCAAGCAGAGCCTACTGGGGTCCTTTTGTAGGATTGAAATGGATGCTGGAAGGGGTTTCCTTCTTTGCCGCACTTCAAAAACCACTGCTTTTACCAATGGAGAGATTTGGCAAAGAATACAGCCATCAGGAAAACTGCAAGATAGAGAGACTGAGATATATTTTGAAAACCTAGCTCCAGACATACGTACACCTGGCAAATCCTAAACTTCGCAGTTATGTAACAATAAATTTAAAAGATTTCCTAGAGTTGTTTGAATCAGGTATGGATTACCTGCAATTGAGTGATTCTTAACACAGAGAAGTCGTTGTTTCTGTTTTTGACCATTTAAAACTATGATTGGCTGTGACTTGTGGAAACACGAATCTCCAAGGAAGAAGTCAGGGACAGATTATCCTTGGTCTCCTACTATTTTAGGGAAATGGTTAATAAGAACACAAAGATTTATCTTTGGGAGTATTCAGTAAGGTGATGGTTTGATGAGATGATGATAATTAACTAAAATGATGTGCCCAAGAGTACTTCCTTGGAAGTATTCATATCTCTCCTCTCCTGAATAGAGCCTTATATTATGGGATTGGGGACCTGGATCTCCAAAAGACTGCAATGATCTCATAGCATCTGTCTCTGAGAAATGAGGAGGATAGGAGACAATGAAACGGGGAGCTGTCTTTGAGGGTAATAAGATTTCCAATCTGTAGCCAGTTGGGGAGGAGCTGAGAAAAGATAGTGGGGCTTTATCCTTCCCATCACTGCTTCATGTAGAATCTCTGCTTCTCATCTGGAATCCCCTCTGGTTATTCATCATTTAACTAATGTGTCAATGCCTCTTCTGTGCAGGCACTCTGCTTAGCACACAGCAGTGCACAGGTAGAAAAGGGCTTTGCCTTTATGGAGTTTCAGCCTAGTTGGGGGAAGACAGACAATTAAACAATTAATTAGGGCTTCCCTGGTGGCGCAGTGGTTGAGAGTCCGCCTGCCGATGCAGGGCACGCAGGTTCGTGCCCCGGTCCGGGAAGATCCCACATGCCGCGGAGCGGCTGGGCCCGTGAGCCATGGCCGCTGAGCCTGCGCATCCGGAGCCTGTGCTCTGCAACCGGAGAGGCCACAACAGCGAGAGGACCGCGTACCGCAAAAAAAAAAAGAAAAGAAATAATACACCACTTCTGATGATGTATCCTTAGGCTCTGGACTGATGCACGCATACCATGTTTCTCTAGAGGATGGTTTCGGACCTGGGGTCCCAGAGTGCTTGCAGTGGGGATGGCCACCTGTTATTAAAATGAAAGCCATCCAGAAGCGTTGCCACTGGCATCTGATCTGTGTCCAGAGGAGTCCTCCAGTATGGGATGAGGGGGAGGGAAACCAACATGTGGGATCTTCCCGGACCGGGGCACGAACCCGCATCCCCTGCATCGGCAGGCGGACTCTCAACCACTGCGCCATCAGGGAAGCCTTCCCCTATTATTAACATCTTGAACTGTTGTGGTGCATTTGCTATGACTGATGAGCCAATGTGGACACATTATTATTAGCTAAATTCTGTAGTTAATATAAAGGTTTACTGTCTGTGTTGGACATTCTGTGGTTTTTGACAACTGTATAATGACGTGTAGCCCCCTTACAGTATCGTTAAGAGTAGTTTCACTGCCCTAAACATCCCCGTGCGCTACTTATTCATCCCTCCCACTTCTTCCCCCGACAAGCCTCTGGCAACCACTGATCTTTTTAATGTCTTCATAATTTAGCTTTTTCCAGAAGTTGGCATCATAAAGTATGTTGTTAAAAGAGGACAAACACAATTCCCCTAGGCCAGCAGCTAGCAGGAGGTAAGAGTTTAGTCCAAAATCACATCTGTCTGACTCTGATTCTCTACGTTTTCTGGACCCCATCCTGCCTAACGGTGCTGGCCCGGGACTTGGTCTGTCCACCTTCACCCTGGATGGTGCTCCTAGGGCTTAAATTCTAGCATTTCCTTTCCTTAACAGTCTTTGGAATCTTGGATCCGCTGTTCTTTGAGTATGATCAGGGTGGCCTGTCACTCATGATCCCTCTGGACCTGTGTGTGATCCTAACCTGCCTGATTTCGCTTTATTTATAAATTCAGCCAGTTTTTTCGACATTTTCCCCTCACTTTTTGCTGAGGCTTTGAGCATCATTATTCTTCCCCTGGTTCGCACTGAATCTTTTCTGCCAGCAACTTGCTTGCTTACGGGCCTTGTCATGGAGGGTCTCCTACAGTTTTACTGAAGACGAAGTCTGCTGGGCGAGGCTGCTAAACGGGGCACAGTGCTGACAACTGTCTTGGTTGAGTTCCACCCATACACCCATACACCCATCAGGGCCTGGAACACTTGCTCTCAGAATTTACAGATACTAACTCTATGATCCGTCTGCTTGTTGCCCGAGCAGAGCATCTCTACAATCTATTAAATTCTATTTTCCTGCCAAGAGTAAAAAAAAAAAAAATCCCACAATCATATTTCAAGTACTAAGGGATATTCTGCTAAGAATAAAAGGTTTATAAGCTCCAAACAGAAGTGAAATAGCTTGTGGAAAACCATAAAGGAATGAAAGAGTAGAATTCAGATTCAAATCCAGATCGAGTGCAAAGGCAAAGCTGGTGGTCCTTGAATCACACCAGGCTGCCCTCTGTGAAATCCTACGATGGCAATGTCAGCGGGTTAAGGAGGCTGTGTGGGATTCAGGAAGAGCCCCAGCACAGGAGACCTCCTTAACGCAACTTGAGAGCATCCTTTCACCAATGAACAGTTGAAACTGAAATTTTCTGCTTTAAAACAACGTGTATGTAGTCACTGATTATGATACCAAACACTCCAAAGTGCCTTGCAAATACTAGCCCATTGCTATGTGTTCACGAAAACGCTTCTGAAGCTAGTAGCACCCTGCAGTTATATGCTTTATAAATTGCTAGTGTAATTCCAAGAGTATCGCATCCTGTGGCTGATAATGAGGCCCCATCACTGACCAAGGACATTGCGGGGGGAGGGGGGTTGGGTAGGAAGCGGGGAAAGGACTCAAAGGCCGTGGACACCGTGCTATCGTTTTTCCTGTTTTCCTGCAAAGTTAGAGAGGAGGCTGGCGGGGTTAATCTATGACCTACTTACCTCTCTCGTGTCACAAGTTACTGGATCTCTATAGACTGTGGCTTCTGCTTGGTTTTGGGCGCCAAGAGGGAGCCTGTGAAGTGAGCGCGGTGGGACCCGGGTCTAGTTTCTGCCATCTCGGGGAGAGTAGCTCCGGAAGTAGCCGCGGAGACAGGCCCGCCGGCCAGGTGCTCGTCCTACCGCCAGGGGCACAGGCAGATTCAGGCTTCCGGCCCTTCCGGACAAGGGGCGAGGATACATTATTTGTTGAAAGTAAGGGAACAGCAATACAATATTCCAATGACAAAGAAATGAAGATTTATCATAATTTAAAAAAAAACCAACCTTGAAGTGCCTCCCCAATCTTCTCATTTTGGGGGAGGCAAACTGGCCGCGAGCGCGGGGTCCGCTCGCCGGGGCCCGCGGTCGGGTGGACAGTCTGGCGGCCGCGCCAGTCGGGCCCGCGCGGGGGGCTGCGGGGACCCGAAGACGCAGGCGGGCTCCCACTGCCCGAGGGATGGCCGCACGCAGGCGGGGCGACCACCAGCGCGTCGGCAGGCGCCGCCCACCCGCGGGGGAATCCCAGGTTAGGGCGCGGGGCGCGCGAAGACGCCGCGCCCCGCCCCGCCCCGCCCCCCGCCCCGCCCCCGCCGCCGCCCGCTCCCGGAGCCGCCGCCGCGCCGCGCTGCCATTGGTGCCAGGCGGTGACGCTAGCGAGCGGGCCGGACGGCGGGGCGCTGGGGGCGGGCGCAGGGAGCGGGGCGCGGCTGATGAAACCGGCTCCCGATCCCTCCCGCCCTCAACGCTCCATTCACTCAGCGCCGGCAGGTGTGAGCGGCAGGTCAGCTGCCGGCGGGGCGCGCGGCCACCCGGCGTCCGTTACCCGAGTCTCCCCCTCCGGCTCCCCGCGCGCCGCGCCTCCGCCCGAGCGTCCGTCAGTCCCGCCGAGCCTTGGTCGATCGTCCGTCAGTCCAGCCGCGGTCTTGCCTGCATCCCGCCACCCGCCGGCCCGGTGAGTCCCCGTCCTCCGCCGGCGCTGGGGCAGCTGCCCGGGTCCGGGTCACCTTGGGGGGCTGACCCCGGCGGCGCGGGGAGGGGCGCGGAGCCCGCGCGGGGAGCCCTGGCATCCTCCGGGTGGGCGCGGGCAGGGCGGACGGGGGTGTACGCGGCCGGTGCCCATGAGGCTGTCTCCGCCACGGAGTCCATTTTGGTTCGCTGAAGGCGCGGCGTGGTGCATGATGCAACACCCCGTGAGGAAGCGTGGGCGACCTGGCGCCTCCGGGGTGCTGGCCCAGCGCTCCCTGCGGGGCACCGGGCGCCGGGACGCGCGGGTGGTCGCGGGGGCGTGGGGACGGGGAGCGGGCACTGGGCCCGGCAGGCGTCCCGAGACCTTCCCTTACATGGCGCGGAGCGGAGCACGCCGCCCCGCCGCGAGGTCCACGACGTGTTATCGGCCGCGGGTGGGGAGCCCGCCGGGCGGCGGAGGGTGGTCCCGCGGCAGGTGGCCGGCCGAGGACGGCGTCGCGCACCCGCAAGCTGGCCGCGGCGCCCACGTCTCTTCCTCTCTGGAACCCTGCACACTCCCTGGCCCGCCTCCACCTCTCTTCCGGGTCCCCGGAGTTGTTTCGGGGAAGTCCCCCCCGCCGGGGGCTTCCTTGTGACCCAATCTGGCCCGTAGAGGCCGGTGCTCAACGCTTCCAGATGGTTTCGAGCAGGAGGCAGTTCTTCCGGCTTCACCGAGACAACCTATTCTCAGTGTGTTCCTTTCTACGTAGTAGGAAACTTCCCGGGCCAGGCGGGTCCCGCAGTCATTCTAAGACCAGTGTGTACACGGCAGCAGGGCGCTGTAGTACTACTACCTTCCCCTTTTCAGTGGCTGTGAGAACCCGAGACGAGCGGTGCTTGACTTGTATGATTAGGACAGCCAGACAAGTGCCTTCCGGAAGAAACGGAACACTGCCCAGTACCCGCCCTCAGGCTCTCACGTGTAGAAGTAACCTGGAGTAGGTTTTACTCCAGATTTGTAAACAGAGGAGGGGGTGAGGGTTTCAATCCCAGGTGTATTTCCCTAAATGAGCTCTTAAAACTGTGACCAGGACTGTGTTTTGGCCTCTGGCTGAATTTCCTAATTGTGTTTCATTTGAATTATAATTTACTCGGGATTCATCTTAACGTTTGTTGCCACTTAGGTTTGGTTCCGATAATGGGAAACCGTGATACCTATAAAAATATCCCCTGATATTTTTAGTTGATCTCAGTGGAAATTATTATTTTTATATGCACACACCCTTCTGTGATTAAAACAAAAAAGTCTTGTTTAAGTCACAGTCAGAATAGAAACTTAGGGGACAAAATCAACAATGGATTAAAATAGTTTTTAAAGGTTTAGCATATTAACATCATGTTTAATTATTACAGGTAAAATTTAAAGAGTGCCAAAGGGGTTTTGACTAAAGAAACAGGACGAGAATTAATAGAGATCAGAAATGTACTCAGTTGTTTAAATCTGGATTGAACCACATGGGTGCTCTTATGCATATAATTATTTGCTTTAAAGGAAGAAAGGCTTGAAAGACGAGATTGCTGACCTCGAGGAGCTTGCATTTTAGGACACACGTTAATTGTATTGGGTTGGGGCTTCCATTCTTTGATGGGCTTAAACACATGTTTACTGAGTGTTCTAGTCTGTCGTTTCTTGTCTACTCAGGCCAGTAAAAATACGTAATTACGTTGGAGGGCCCAGCATTATGTCTTATTAAATTATTCCCTTACATTATTAATTATGTATTTGAAGGTATTGGTTTATTAATCCCAGAGAGGAATTTGAAACAGGAATGGGTGTGTCCTTGTTATGGGGAGAAACATTTTCCTCTGACCCTGGAGGTGTCTGGGCCACAGGCATCTTCTGAGATGGCCATCCTTCCACCTGGGGCCGGGTCCTCACTCCAGGTGGGACCTGCGGACGGGCGGGCCCTGGTGCTCTTCTCCAGCCTGGGGCCCTCACCCCTGTCTGCTCCTGTTGCTGGCAGGCTGTTTTTCTCAGAGAAGCGGGGAGTGCTGGGTGGCTGTCAGGGAGTGGAAGGGCCACTTCAGCTCCTGGGTGGAGAAGAGATGGGGGACGGGCAGGCGCAGAAGGGGGGAGGCCAGAGCAGAGACTGGTAACTTAGGTCTGGAAAAAACCCCAAGCCCAGCTTATTTCTGCACGAGAGAGTGTGTCCATATGTCGTTTCTGTGAGAGAGAGAGAGATGGTGGCATCTTGGACACGGTAGGAATGTGAGCTGGTTGAGTTCTGCTCAGTCTGCAGGCTGGTGTCCTTGCTCTGTCTGTGGATTTTAAAGGAAGATTCCATGTGAGGTGCGAAAGGCCGGATGAGGTTCCACGTAGAGCGGAGCCACTGTGCTAGTGAGGTGGGGAAGGCTGAGGAGATCGTGTCAGGAAGGACTCGGTGAAAGTCACAACCGGCTTTTTCCAGACATTTCCATCCTCACGGGCCGGGGCTGAGCCGGAGCTGCCTTGTTGCGCCCACGTGCCGCTGCAGCGTGGGGCCTCCTTCCCCTCCGCCCGGCAAGCCTGCGGCCTCCCTGATCTCCCCTGCGCCCTCCAGTGGGCATCTTGGCCGTGGGTTTGTCCCGTGGCCCGCTTGGGGTCTGCAGCCCTGGGGCGCGCCTACTTTTTCATTCCTGGCCTTCAGGAGGCCTGCCTGCCGGGGGTTTCTTGGGCCGGAGGCCCCTGGCGTTGGACCCCAGGCCAAGGTTGTATCTGCCCAAGGTTTTAGGTCTGTTCCAGTCAAGAGAAGAGTAGCAGCTTTGGTGGCAGGTTGTGGGCCCTGTGGGAACTTCAGTGGCTTCTCTTTCTCTGTAATCATGTCCCCACCCCCAACTGCAAAGCCGCTTTGACAGCAACTACCCCTGCACTTGTTCAAAGCAAGCCCCGGTTTATCATGCGGGGGGGGGTTAGTGCATTTGCCACCTGTGAATCTGCTAGAAGGACGGGCAGCACGTTGGTAAGAGGACTTGGTGGACTGCTGTCTTCATTGGGCTCCGAAGACGTTCCTTCAGACCTTTGGCCTCGGCAGAGCAGCGGCTGAAGCTGTTTGCTTCACCCATCGGTGAGGATTCGCTCACCCGGGGACACAGGCTGCAGGAGAGACATCTCTGCACGTCGGGATAGGTTCTGGCACGGGGTTCCCTCGTCATGCCACACCCGAGTCTTCCATTTGGCTTTTCCTCTGGTTGTTGTCATTAGCACTGGGGACCTCCAGGCGGTAGATTTGGTGGACAGACCACGTCAGCTGAGGGTAGAGCTGTGTGGAGTTAGAGGCCAGCTTCAGTGCAGCCTGAGGTCATCGCCCTGAAATGCAGACGCTGCTTCTAGGAGCCGGGGCAGGTGGTCCAGTGCCGGGAAGGGCGCCATCCGAGGCGTCTTCGGTGCAGGTTTGCGGCCGTCTCTGTGCAGCCTCCAGTATGTCCTTTGGGCTGTCGGAACCCTGCAGACGTGCTCTTGCCCTGCCTGTAGCTTGGGGAAGCCCGCCCTCTCAGCCTCATAATGATGAAGCCAGTAAACATGAAGTGCAGAATATTCTTTGAAAGAATAAAGGTCAGTCCATTTAGATTCTTTCAGAAAATAGGTTCTTTCCATTGCCAGCCTTCTCTTCTGATAAAGGCAACCAGAAATCAAGCTCCGTTCAGCCTTCAGGGGCTACCAAGAGGCGGATTTATACTGAGGAGGGAGAAAGAATGTCCTTCGTCCGGTAGGACAGCGTGTGTTTCCACACCGTCTCCCTTCTTCCTGAGTCACTTTTCCCCTCTGGAGGCAGTTGTTTCTGAAACATTCTGTCTTCCTGCCGTAGTGCTTTCTTCAGAAGACCCATGCAGGTAAGGTTCTTGCCTGTGAGAACAGCCAAGTACTTCGCCACGTGCGTAGGAGTGGGTCCTGATTCTCCGCACGTGCTGGGCGCACAGGGAGCCCCGCATCGCGGAGACCCGCTCGCCGTGCCGACTCCGGGCGGCCCCCTGCTCTCCCTGACGGGCCACGCACTGCGGGGACGAAGGAGGTGCCGTGGGCCTCCCCCTGCCCCGGAGTGGGCTCCGCTTACAGGATCAGTGCCTTTTCTAAGATATTTCTTGGAGCCACGTTTGAATCCTTTTCCATATTGCCTGCATAATAATTGGCTTCTAGTGCCTACCTTACAGGATTGAGAGGATTTAAATGAGGCAATCGTCCAGGTTCCGCACTTAACACAGCTTCTGGCGCATACCAGGTGCTTCGTATAAACGTTAGCTGTTTTACTGGAAACAAAGCACAGTTCTTTGATTTTGGCGTGGAGGAGGAGAGAATCTGTAACAACTTTATTTGCCCTCCCATTTTGCCAAGGTGTCAAAAGGTCGTCCCTTCTCCTTGGAGTTGTGTCTGCCTTGCAGTGGGTGGCGTGGCACCGGGGTGTTGGGGAGGCCAGTCCCTGCAGGTCTCAGGTCCACAGCCTTGGGTTTGTCCCCTCCTCACGCCTCTGGGAAGCAGAGCTCACGGTCCCATCCTCAGGGGTGGCCTGCCTGTGTCTGTGTGCACGTGCGTGTGAGTGTGTGCGTCTGTGTGTTTTGGGGGTGTCTGCCCTCGTCCATCCTGACCCCAGACATTTGGTCCAAATTACCCCGAGCGCTTTGGGTTTAAA